TCATTATTTTAATAGTAGCCAAATTTTCTGCTCTCCGTGGTAAAATATTTGTTGTTCTTGTCAAATCAATTGGTACGTTTACTACGCTGCCTTGAATTTTCAATTGACCTTCTCCGNCCTTGAATTTTCAATTGACCTTCTCCTCGAAGACATTTGAATACTTTCATAAATGGTAATCGCAGTGATACCATTTGTCTTTCTATTTGGTTAAGCTCCTTAACTGACTGTGGAACATGATTTAATTGAAAACCATTTCCAACATACAATGGTGGAATTTTTAATTTTTTTAAATGACCATAACAACTTGTGCATACTAGTACACTTTCACTATCATTTTGACCAATGTTCATATTAAGTTGCCTTAATAATTTTTTTGGAGTTTTGATTATGCTACTTGGTAATCTTAAACGGCTACAAGAAACACAAGTTTCTGACAAACCTTGTGTTTTTTTTAAATTATATTCTGACAGTAATGTTTCCCACTTTTGACGTTTCATGTTTAATTTTTCCTTTTCATGCAACCTATATGAAGATACACGATAACAACGTTTTCTACTACTTGACCCTATGCTGCTATTTGAAGAAGCTCTTCTTTTAAGCATTCGAATACTATTTGCTTTTTTATAGGCCTTTCTCGTATCAGGATCTTCTAATTTTTTTTTCATACTAATTTTAGCAGCTTCTATATTAGCTTTCTTTATAACTGGATTTTTTAAACGTTTCTTCATGCTCACCTTAGCAGCTTCTGTATTAGCTTTTTTTATAACTGGATTATTTAAACGTTTTTTCATGCTCACCTTAGCAGCTTCTATATTAGCTTTTTTTATAGCTGGATTTTTTAAACGTTTCTTCATGCTCACCTTAGCAGCTTCTATATTAGCTTTTTTTATAGCTGAATTTTTTAAACGTTTCTTCATGCTCACCTTAGCAGCTTCTATATTAGCTTTTTTTATAGCTGAATTTTTTAAACGTTTCTTCATGCTCACCTTAGCAGCTTCTATATTAGCTTTTTTTATAGCTGAATTTTTTAAACGTTTCTTCATGCTCACCTTAGCAGCTTCTATATTAGCTTTTTTTATAGCTGGATCATTCAAACGCCTATTCATACTTAAACGAGCTGCTTTTCTATTTGCTTCTTTAATTTCGTTATTTTTTAATCTTCTTCTCATATTTTTTAAATTAACTGCATTTTCTAATTTTCTTTTATTATAATCTAATCGTGCTCTTTTTTTAGCAACTTTCTCATTATTTCGTTCTTTAATTCGGAATTCTTCATTTTTTCGTTTAATATTCATGTAATCGCGTCGTTTTTTAATAAATTTTGAAGTTATACCCATTTTAACCCTTCTAATTTTTTCTTTTTTTCTATTGTCAACTGT